GCCCACCTTTTTTTTTATTGTGTCTGTCATCACGTTTTAGAACAGTAAAAGTGCTTGGATTTTCTTCAACAGTAGCTTTTCTGATTGGAAAGTGAATCTAGTTGGTACTTTGGGGGGGTCAAAAGTGAAAATTTCACAGTAGTTTTCAAAAGCGCCGTGAAAAACAAAAGAAAAATTAAGGAAAAACGGGAATTTTTACGCAAAATCTGTTTTCGAGAAAATCGATTTTGGTTTTTGGTGTAACTTTAAAACAAATGACCGTAGACCGTAGATAAGTGAAATTTTCACTGATTCTTTATATTTGCATTTGGTTAAAAAAGCTTGAAAATTTAATACAAGGTTCCTACAATATTGTTTCAAAAGCAGATGAAAAATATTAAAAATCCTTATTCACAGTTTTCTTTTATAGGCATTTAAAGTCCAAAAATTGACAAAATATGGAAAAATCACGAAAATTAGCAAATTATTTTGAGTTAAGAATTCGTAAAAATTTTTCTTTTAAATCTAAGATTTTAAAATGTGATACAAGATTCCTTATAAGATTAACTACCTTTATCAAGAAATAAATGTCTATAAGAAAGTCAAATTAAATTTTTATGAGCGTTTGAAATTAAAATTTTTACAACATTGGATATTCACTCGATTTCTCATGTAGCAGTAGCGATTTCCTTATTTTGTTGTAATTCATAAACGAATGACTGTAGATACATGACAATTTCACTGAATGTTTACATTAGCATTTTCTAGACACCATTCAATTTTGAAAATATTTTGACTCTTTTTGAGCTGTTTACGGACATTTACTTTTTTTTAGTTTTTTTTTCTATACATATCAAATAAGTTATATCGGTTGGGCCAAAAAGTGTAAAAATTTAATACAAGGCTCCTGATATATTGTTACAATATCAGTTGAAAAATATAAAAAATACATAGGCACAATTTTTTTTTAATAAGCATTTAAAGATCGAATTTTGACAAATTTATCAAATTTAAAATTGAATAATTATTTTGTAGTTAATAATTTATAAGATGTTCAACTTTTATAGCTAAGGATTGAAAATTTAAAACAAGATTCTACATAAGTAGTTAATTCTGTTACTAAAAAATCTAAAAAATACATACTCGCGGTTTATTTTATAGTCATTTTAAGTTCAAATATTGATGAAATTACAAAAAAAAACCTAGAATAACTATTTTAGTTATTTCGTTGTGATTCAGTGATTGTATAATATTATTCGTGGGTACTTGAAATTTCTAAAGTACACTATTATATATCTATGATAGTATCCACTATCCAGGGTTTGCTGTTGATGTATAACGCGTTATATGTACTTAATGGATATTGTGATATGATTAATTTGGAATTTTGTGATAGGTTTCTATTATATTTTAATAATAATAATTTTTTTTAATACCATAGATAATAGTATATAATATTATTTCTTATACCTACACTGACATACCGTCTCTGCTCAGAATCGTTTTTCTTATGTCATTGAATTCAAATTTAATAGTATCCATTATACAGTGATCCACTTGTAACCTACTAAATCTTATTACATCGTACAGAAGGTAGGTATTTATTACAATTAACAATGTCCTCTAGCCTCAAAATATCACTATACATTAATATTATGAATGTAGTATGGCTACATTATTCAATTTTCACAACCTTTTTTTTTGTGATGGATATTTGGTATTTACTATTAAAAACAGACAAAAAATAATATTTTAAATTTGTATTGCAAATACCTAACAAAATATTATATACTTACATTTTACGTATAATGTGTAAATCTAATATATATTATACGTGTATAGGTATTAAGGTATAACAAAGCTGTATACAATAATACCATAGAACAATGGTTATAGTGTAATACTAAATAAATATCGTTCGATGAGGAACAACCTCGGTGGAACACTCTGTATATAGTGCATGAAAATATGAAATGTATAATATATAAGCAAAGTCCAAACTATTTTCTATAGATACAGGCGTTACAGCCTATATATGAATTTAGAGTTTTAGACTTTAAAAACAATTTTTATAAATATTATTATATAATACATTAATACCTATAACTCCATGGTATAATAAATAATAATTAATAGTAAGGTATATCTTAATTCATGTACAACTATTACGTTTATTTATCATGGGGACTACGTCTCTAAGACTAAGGAGCAGAACTCTACTTAGGGGAGGCTACAGCCCCGGGCCCCGATTATCACTGTAATACTATCATTTTTTTCAATTACAGAAAGTTATAATTTTTTGGGTATATTTTATTTCAACATTTCGTCGATTAGAATTGTATCTTACAATTTGTTTTCAAAATATTAAAATAAAGTAATTTTTTGCTGACTTCTGATTGTAACAATACATGGGCAACCTAGGATAAACTTATCTAAAAGCAGCCTGTAATAAATATAAAAACTGATAAAATAAAAGTTATAGCAGGGGCGTCATTTGGGGTATTGCAGGGTATGCCTATGCATACCTAAAATTATCAAGATGCAATTTGGCCCGACTATAATTTTTCTGCGCCGGGCAAAAATTATCGTTTTTAGATTCTGAGTGGAACGATGAATGTATTGATTTTACAATGATGTGTGTTTTTTTATTTTTTTTGTGTCTGTGTACACGATAAGTAGTCGAAATAATGCTTCGATTTTCAACTTCAGTATCTTGTTCGATTGGAAAGTGAATATCGTTGGTGAATTGGGGAGGTCAAAATTAAAATATGAGCACATTTATTTTTTACAGACATTTTACATTCATATTTGGACAAAATTACATATTAAAAAACCTAAAATAACTATTTTAGTTATTTTGTTGCGATTGAATAATATTATTCGTGGGTACTTGATACTTGAAACTTCTAAAGTGTACTATTATATATCTATGATAGTATCACGGTTTGTTGTTGATGTATAACGCTTATAAGTACCTAATGGATATTGTGATATGATTAATTTGGAATTTATTATAGGTACCTAATTATAGGTCATTTTTTTGTTTAATATCATAGATATGTATATAATATGTCTTAGGTATACAGTTATACCTAGACTGACGTACCGTCTCCGCTCAGAATCGTTTTTCTTATACAATGATATTATATCGTTGAATTCAAATTTAATATCATCCATTATACAGTGACCTACTTGTAACCTACTGTACAGCAGAGCGACATCCACTTGCCCACCTTCTTTATTTTTATATATATAATTGGTCTCGAGTATCGGCATCTATCATTTATGGCTTATGCTATATGCCCCTATATAAGACCATACGCCGTAGTAAATAGTAGATAAATAACTTATGTGTGATTAAAGATTTCAGAATTTGTTTTGTTTTCCTTAGTGTTTATAAATATGAAATAATGATATTGAAAATAAAATAATGTACGTTTTAACTGTGTAGTATTGGGTGTACAATATTGGTATTATATGAAATTATTTGATTGATGAAAAATCAAAATTTCGAGCGGAGCGAGAAAAAATTTTTTTTTCTAATTATTATAGTGTATATAATAATATATATTGGCCTGCTGAACATTTTTTGGCCTGCCCTGATGTTAGCATACCTTTCAAAAAGTTGAAATGACACCCCTGAGTTATAGTAGGTTACACAAAAAAACTGTACACGGGCGAAGCCGGGTTATTCAGCTAGTACTATCATATACGATTTATTTTATTTATATCATTCAACATCATATAATAAAATTACTTATAGGCTTATGATATTATTAATTTATAATCTTAAAATATAAATTTCATATAAAAACCGAAGCATCGAAAAAAAATCTGAACTTGAAGATAATTTAAGTTAAGTTACCCAACCAAAAAATTAACCCCGGGCCCTAAACTTCATAAGTAGGGCTCTGCGCCTCTGCTAACTGCTGAGAACTAGTATAGACTTCTGACTTTAACTTTGTTGTAGTAAGTAGGTAGGTATACTAGGTACCTACTAAGAAGTGTGTGTACTGTGTATGTGACTACTAATTACTATACTACTATAATAGTACAATGTCTACACTCTACGAAGTACGGATTCAGTATGCTAAACCAGACCGATTTAACATTTTCCAATGGTCCAAACATCCCGGCGCATTATCATAGGCGGTAATTGGGGGCTTAGCCCCCCCCCCCAAAAAAAAAAAAATTGAACATTTTTCAAAGCCCCAATTCTTATTTTGTAAAGAAAGACTCAAGTCCTCCCTAAAATTCAATCAAATCTCCACCTATGTGCAGTATTTTTCACACCAGCTGTTTAGCCTAGCAAATTTCTGGGCTAGCCAGCGCATTAATGTTTACACCGGTTTACCCTTTCTAGCGAATTTTAGCCATTGCATTCAACACACTTATCTCAGTTTTCTAGATTGACTAGATTCCTCACGAAATTCATCTTGATCTCGGTCATCTCACAGCTTTCATATTCAAAATTTCAAAATCATAAAAATATACATTTGCCATTTTCATCGATTTCACTTTTCCAGAACAACCCCCCCAGTTGGGGCCCTGTCATTAGTTATCAGTTAATCAGTTATCAACGATCACAGAATTATTATTATCATTAATTGATAACCGAACAGTGAAATAAGTAATAACAAATAAAAGTCTACTACTCCGCGACTGTGAGAGGCAAACGTTAAAAGTACATAACGTGTTTTATTGCGTTATTTTCTGTTTTGTTGACAATATTGTTGTGTGTATAATACACTATTAAAGATAGTATATTATTAGTGGTATAATATAATAATATTATAATTTAACTTAACAATTCGGGACTTCGAGAGGTTTAGCAATATATTATATTATAATTTAGTATTATTATGCAATTGTGCTACGCCTGTAGTAATTCGTGCGTGGATCGCCAGCAGGTAGTGTTACAATGACCGCCGCCGATTGATAAGTAGGCAGTACGTTGTACGCCGCGACGGCGATGTGTACCTCGTCTGCTCCTCAGAAGGTTTGACGACTCAACCACGACCATGTACTTTACGTTCGGGACGGACATCGATCCCTTCCTAGTGAAAAACTTCAATGTGCAATCCACCATCGGTGAGTATATCACAGTCCATCAGTTTTCGGGTCTTTACATGTAAGTTTGTGTAATATCGTGTGTTATTCTTTCCACTAGGGCTAGTGACGTTATGCGTTGGTTTGATAGCATTGGCGGTGGTCTTCGAGTCACTGAAAACTGTGCATTTCATGGCGAGGGTTCACCGACGGTTATTATGTTGCAGTCAGCCAGATTGCAAGGAATATATCAATAAAGAAGCGTTCATGATTACATTTAGGATGAAAATTTTTGAGTAAGTTCATCTGAAAACAATTATGACAATTTTGACGCTATTATTGTACACGGTAAACATTTATGTGTTTTATTTTATATTTCTATAGTCTACACACAAGTAGAATTTGTGAACAATATTAATTTAATATTAAAAATATCATATTCCTGTCAATTCTCAGAACCATTGTCAATACATTTTTGCTTGAGAATTATATGCACTTAAAGACTTCAAAATAACTTATGCCTATGATTTCTTATCTAGTTGCATTAGAACATTGGGAGTTTACACGTTTCAAATGTTGGTCGGATATATTTTAATGTGCGCAATAATGACATTCAATGGGTACATTTTTTTTGCCACTGTTGGAGGATATGGTTTGGGATACTGGTTGTTTGGCTTAACAATGATGCATTTGTCAGCAAGGAATTTACTCAAATCCCAAGATGTTCCAATCAGATGTAAAAACTGTACTAGAATCAACATTAACAGTAAGTGTTTTAAATATCATCATTCAACAATAATAATTTAGTAAGTACATAGTACACTGATACATTATTTTGTTTCATTCTTATAGAAAAAGATACTACGGAGGATAGTATTAGTACTGATATAAGTGACGATATAGGACCAAGTACAAGTTCTGTGGTTGAAGTGGAAATACATACCTAACAGATTGTAATATAATATTATTATAAAATATTATACTTTATGAAAATATTATTTTCTGAAATTTTAAGATACTTGTATAAACTTTTATTTTGTAATTAAGATATTTAAAATATGTTTGTTGTTACCATTGAACCACATAATGTTAATTCATTTATTGCCAAACCAAAGATATTATTTATATATTGATTACAATTTATTTTAAACTACTATTGATACCATAATATCATTATTTCTATTGTATTGAATAAACTGTACATTTAAGTTCAACTGAAAGTTTTAAAAAAATGGATTATTTTTAATTTCAATGCAAGATTAACATATTTTGTTGATATAATAATCTACAATCATTATATTTATAATTATATAATATATATTTTGGAGCACGGACTAAGATATACCTTAGTCCGTGTTTTGGAGTAACAACATAATCTTGTAATAATGTCTTTAACAAAAAACATGTTTATTGGTTTTAATAATTTGTTGTTAAGTAATTAAAAATATGATACATTTTTATTTTATATATTGTTATTGACATTTTTGATTTTATATATAGTTGTTAACTAAGTGTAAGGCTCTTAATTTTTTACTCAATAACTGAAGATTTTTTCAACAATATATTTTTTTTTATTATAAATTGTAAATATGTCTGATAATTAATAACCTTTGAATTTTCTATCCATTAAAGCAACTTTTCCTCTGCCGTACCCCTTAGAGTAATAGTAAAAGTTATTGCAGATCCCACAGTAAAAATAACCCAACTTAACAATAATAAATAATTATTATTGACGGACCACAGTTTGGGAAAAGCTGCTTTGAAATAAGGATTTTTTTTAATGCCTTGATTTTAAAATGATGTACTTTGTGTACTTTTCATTTGAGCATTATTTTCAGATATATATTTAATAATATACTATGCAGCTTATAAAATAGAAAGGGAATAATAAATTAATACATTTTATATGAATCTTAATAAGAATTAATTTATTGTATCACCAACAAAGCAACTAAACAAACAATTTGTATAACAAGTATAATTGGTAAGATTATTCTGGTTCTTTGTAATCTTTCCATTCTTCAGGGTTCACATCATAATCGACCATTATTTTTTTAAGGCTCCACCAAACATTTAAAAAGCCTATATCTACAGCACGCTGATGTACTGATAATACTGAAGGCTTTAAATATTTACAGTTTGCTTTGTACGCCTGTATGTCGTCATTAAACTCGTCAATCCAGATGACTGAAAACAAAAGCAGATTCAGTCTTTTCACGACTCCCAAATTATAGCATTTTTCTATATATTCTAAATGTTTGACTGTAGATGGGTTCCGGACAGCTGGTGAAATGTACAGCATGGTGTTGGCGCAATCGAGGATTTCCGATCTGTAGCTGTGTTCGTCTGGGTTGGTCGATGCGCAGTAATATGCACAACTAGCAGTTACCACGGCTAGAGAGCTTTTCATCGGGTTCGCCTTCGCATACGTTCCGATGCCCACTGTCGCCTCGTAATAATCTTTCGCCACACTCTCCCAGTACTGTTTCCAACGTTCGACAATCGTACCACGGAAACGCTCCGGAAACGAAAATCGGCTGGGAGTTTGCTTTAGGCTGTTGCTACCCACCACCGTACTGTATAACTTATTTAATTGGCGCACACAGATCATGACTGCGGATTACAGATTCACTCGAATTCAGGAAATCATCACTATATATTATTAACTCAATAGAAGATTACGGTCTTAAACTTAGTACATCAGATTATTCGGTTTGCTGAAACTCGACAGACGACAGTAAACACATTACACACTAAACAGCACACATTGGCCACAACTGCCTACCATGAGGCATGCACGTCGCACGATGAACTAAGTTAAGATAATACAAAATACAAGGCAGGCCCATCTGCCCATCCATAGACAAGTATAGGTCTTCCGTGAAAGGTGAAACTCAATTGAAAATACATATATTATTATATTTCATTACATACCATGTCTACGGTTAAACTTCGATTAGTTGATAATATATTTATACCGGGCAAATTTGGCCAGTTAAACTCCGGTTAACTTTAATCGGAGACGGTACAACTGGCCCTAAGGCCCTTATAGTTTATATTGTGGCAACAGAATTTAATCCAGAAATCAGCTGTTTCGATCTACTACTAGCGCGCCTAGTGATCTGATATTTGTTTTCTTACCACCTTCTTGGCCATTGTCGTACTGAAGAAGTATAGAACTAGAACATGTAATACAATATTTGAATATTTGAATATTAAAATGTTAAATGTTCTATGCTTAAACCATAGACATAATATAAATAAATAAATAAATTTAAATGCCTATGGACTATGGCTTAAACCATGGTCACCCACCCGGCACCGACATTCGACAATAATGAAGGTTTCCAGCAGGGCCGGATTGGTGAGTATCGGGCCATCGAGATTTTCCCTTCTAAGCGGCCTGTTTACATATTCAGAAGCCCAAAATTACGTCTATAATTATCACGTGCTTATAGGTGGCCCAATCGTATTTTAAACACGAGTTTATTTTCACTCACACACACGACCGGCCTAAATTTTAAGAGGCCCGCCGAGATTTCCTCGGTAGCTCGCCTAACCAATCTAGGCCCTAACTAACCTGGCCCTGGTTTAAGGAAGAACTACTACTTACTAGTTTCCCTCAATAGGTTGGACGTTGGAAACATGATTAAGGAACTACATGGTGTTGGAATGGTTGGAAATCGATCAGTACATTCTTACATTTTGTCCGTACATTCTTATCATGGTGGCAAGCCTGTTTTTAAGCCCATGGTATCTAGCAGGTTGAATACAGTGTTGAATATGATAGAATAAGGATAACAAATTGATTTTTATTTTAATTTTTTCTCACTTTTACTTTTGACTAGTCTAAGTCTTAGGAGTTAGGAGTGTAGGAGTGTTAAGGACCTTTATCCATGTTTTCCTAACAATATGGGATAAATAGTTAAATCCTTTAGTATTATTTTATCTGCTATTCGTTTTGGTCATTGTTTTCTTTGCATTACTTTCGTCTATACTGTTTTGTACACCTTCTAATGCAAACGATCTAAAATACAGCTAATAAATCAAAATGAACTATTTACCAAAAACTATATGGTAAGATATTTCAAAATCCAGTAACATAATTTGCAAATAATAATTATACATTCCCCAATATATAACCGTTTTAATAACCGGATAATGTTTTCTTTTTCTCATGTAATTTTTTATATTTATGTTAACTTACGTCTTTATTTTTTAGCTCTAGTACATCATTGGCTTCAAGAAACTTGGCTTTGTACTGCGCTAGCTCTTCATGTATTGATCGATCAAAATGCCGCAAATTTCATTTTTCATCACCCTCACGCACGCCTGGAGATATTATATGTCCCTCTTTAGTTCAAGGAATTGATTATATTCGAGACCCTCGATTGAACAAAGGCCTTGCTTTCACTCTTGAAGAACGACAAGCACTTGGTATACATGGTTTGATGCCACCCAAGTTTAAGACACAAGAAGAACAACTTGAAGTTTGTCGATTCAGTGTTATGAAGTATCAAGAAGATTTGAATAAGTTCTTATACTTGGCCGAATTACAAGTAATCAATTTGTTTTATTCATGCTTATACATACTTATTTTAATATAAATTTGATTTGCAGGATCGAAATGAAAGGCTTTATTTTAGGCTTTTATCTGAAAACATTCATATGTTACTGCCAATTGTTTATACTCCAACTGTTGGGTTAGCATGCCAAAAGTTTGGTTTGATATTCCGCCGTCCTAGAGGATTATTTATTACCATTAATGACAAAGGACATATTTATGACTTGCTGAAAAATTGGTAATTACCTACAGTTATTAATTTTACTAGTATAAATTAATTGTATTATTAATCGTAAATCAATAATTTTTATAGTAAACTGATGCAACTTTAAATTAATTACTCTTAAAATGCTACTAATGGGCTTAGCTGTTGAAAATGTTTACATAAAAAAAATATATCTTAAATTTCATGAAATATCTATTATCTTAACCACCACAATTTATGTTTCTATATAGGTAGCATATTAACAATACCATCATCGCTTGCTTCATCAATTTTGCTTAAAATGTTATTGATGAATTAGGTCAGTAGAATTAAGCTATTTAATGTCTTAAGCTATTGTGGTACATTTATTGGCTGCTGACCAAGTTTTTCTAACATTATATGGCATATAGGATTAATTTAAAATAATAATTTTTAGTAAAAATGAAAATGGTGTACCTACTTTAAAATTGTATTAATATTTGATTAGAATTTGCACAATTTTATAAAAATTATAATAAATTGTTTATTAATATAATAATTATATAAGTAGGTAGATACTTATGGATTTAAAAAGAAGTGTTAATTATTTATAAGAAAAATAATGTCTAATTAAAAAAATATATATCCAATATCCAAATACAATTTTTTTAAAGTTAGGTGTTCTTAATTTTTTTTATAAAATTATATTCAAATATGTTTTAATTTAATATTATTTAAATATTTAATTCAATCAACATTTTAAAGTTTGTTGTTACAAATTTTTCAAATTCTTTCCGATTTTAAAGACAAGTGCTTTTCTGAAGGTTCATTATCCTACTAAACTGAGTTTTGCCATGATTGATCCAACATGATTTTATCCCATTGTATTTTTGTGAAAAAATTGTTTAAGTACAAATAAAAATTATACTTAAATACAGTGGAATCCGCTTATTGTGGGCACCGGTTAATATGGGCATCCGCTTATTGTGGGCAAACAGGTCTGGTCCCAATACAAATGTATATTAACAATGTTAAATCTAACCGCGTAATATGGGCACTCGATTCGGTTTATGTGGGCAATTTTATTTTATCATAGCGTTAGAATACACACATATGTATTTAAAAACGACTAATTTAATCGGATTTCGTCATATCTATAAGATTGTGTTTATCGAAAGTAATAAAAATCATTATGCCATTTAAACCATAATGGGATTTTGATGTGTGTAAATGTAATTAGATGCGATAAAAATAAAGCGATAGACTTTCTGTAAGCGACTTTTCTGAAAGCGTTCTGTAATGCGTCAATAACAGCATTTCAGTTGTAACATGAATTTCAACGTGACAATACGTACAATATGTCTCGAAAAGATCTCTCTCTAAAGGAAAAAATATAGGTATATAATAGCTATATGATAATAAAAATAAAAACTTTTTTGTATTATATTTTTTTTTTTTTTTTTAACTAATTTCGGTTTTTATGGGCAAACAGAGCTGATCCCAACGTGCCCACATTAAGCGGAATCTACTGTATTGTATCTTCATATATTTAACATTGCTATACTCTATTTTAAATAAAAGTAACCTCAGGTGACAACTAATTTCTGTGTAGTTTAGTCAGACCAGTAAACCGCACTCATCCGTTAAATCAGTTTTCATTGTCAGCTTTTGTTTCCGATGATTGGACATGGTAAAAAAATACTTTACTGTGTTAATCTTAGCAAAATGTAAACTATGTAGTTGTTTCGTTAATAAAGTTATGTTTCCGAGAACATTGTATTTGATACGTGTTAGCTATACCATTGATTAAATATACTTAATCAATATACTTAAGTATATTTAATCAATGGCTATACCTATTGCCACTGTTGTGCACAGCCACCTGAAGTTACTCTTATTTGAGACATATTATATATTTTTAGTTTTTATAATCAAATTTATTTAGCTATTTAACAATGATTTAAAAAATAAAATTCAACAATTGCAACAAAAAAAAAGGTGGGCAAGTGGATGTCGCTCTGCTGTACAGTAGGTTACAAGTGGGTCACTGTATAATGGATGCTTTTAAATTTGAATTCAATGATACAATATCATTGTATAAGAAAAACGATTCTGAGCGGTGATGGTATGTCAGTCTATGTATAAGGCATATTATATACATATCTATGGTATTAAACAAAAATTGACCTATAATAGGTACCTATAATAAATTCCAAATTAATCATATCACAATATCCATTAGATACTTATAACGCGTTATACATCAACAAAAACCGTGATACTATCATAGATATATAATAGTACACTTTAGAAGTTTCAAGTACCCACGAATAGTATTATTCAATCACAACAAAATAACTAAAATCGTAATTCTTGGTTTAAATATGAAATTTTGTCTAAATTTGAAATTAAAATGTCTGTAAAAAATAAGTGTGTTTATATATTTTTTAGATTTTTTGGTTACAGTATGAATTATTTAAGAGAATCTTTGTTTTAAATTTTCAACTCTTAGTTATAAAAACTGAACATTTTATAATTTTTTAATTCCAACGATTGATAATTTTCGAGATTTTGATAAATTTTGTCAAAATTCCAACTTTAAATGCTTATAAAAAAAAATCGTGCCTATGTATTTTTAATATTTTTCAACTGATATTGTAACAATATATCAGGAGCCTTGTATTAAATTTTTACACTTTTTGGCCCAACAGATAAAACTTTATTGATATTTATAGAAAAAAAAACTAAAAAAAATTGAAAGCTGTAAATGTCCATAAACAGCTCAAAAGAGTCAAAATATTTTCAAAATTGTATGGTGTATATGAAATGCTAATATAAACATTCAGTGAAATTTTCATGTATC